CTCCTGTCGACGTGGTCCGGCCTTCCGATTGCGTGTTTCTTGCCTATAGATAAACCGGAATCGGACGCAGACAACGAATTGCGTCACTTGGTCCCACTCTGTCGCGGCTCTCCATTCGCAGTCAACTTGGTAGGAAACTTGCTGCATACACAGCCCCATCGTGTCTCTGATTATTTGTGCAATCCTAGACGGGCTGAACCGGTGTTCATTGATTGGGTTGCCTTGAATTGGCACAGTTCCTACGGATACGATTCCATGTTCTTGGTATGTCTAGTTACTGATTTGCCTACAGTTGTAAAATGTGTTTGAGTTTTCGTCCCAGATTTTGCATCCTGTGATACTATGACTATTTCAGTATAGCCCGCACTCAACTGGTCCTCATCTTTCGCCTTACCGGTTGTGAGGGTCAAGAAACCCTGATATTCGAAAGGTTAGGTGTACTAATATTAATATAATACATATTATGTAATAATGTTTGATCATTCGGAAAACAATCCATATGATCCAAATTTCGTTGAACATTGATTGCAACTTGCTTAACCCAGCGGAAAAATATGTAATATCAAGTTGACTAGTTTCTTGTCGTGACTAACCTGGGGATTCGGAAATCAGTCACCGTTTGATGCCTGAATCACAAATGTGATGGGCATTGACTGTCGAAAGCAGTATTGTCTAACAAGGGAGCTCAAAGACCGCACATTTCACCCTCACCCGTGTCATCATGAATTCGTGCGTCTGTGTGCAGTCTTATTTGTCTGTCATAGTCAACAAACCCCATCGAACAACTGTTTCGTATCCTTTGGGACTCGTCAGCAATGCAAACTATTTTTTCGCCCCCATTCTTACGAACCAAGGCTCTTATCGCTCAGCTACACTGTCGCGGTCAATTCCTTTGTTTATACGAAAAGACTTCGGAGAGTTCACACTCATGAAATTGACGCTGATGTTGATGTATCCTCTGCCGCAACAGAATCGTTCTTCTTGCTGCAAAGAGGTCAACACAGAGCTTGAAAAATATATCTACGGTCATGTAGTTTGAGTTGGTGGCCCGACACTTGTTTCACTCTATATTATTACTCCTTTTAGGTTTTTTCGGGAGCATAATCGAGGCATTCCCACTTCAGGGAATAAATTCAATGTTCCTCTTTTTTTATTACACACCCGTGTGTGTTGAACAGCAGGCGAGGCGGACCCCATGGTCACGAAGACGTACTGCAGTAATGTTAACGGGCAACCTGATCCCAGTAACTGGAGTATTGAACCATGTAAGGCCTCGATGGGTCAGGCGTGGTATAGAACCGCGAGACATCAAAGCTGCCTACCATCATCTATGGAGTGAAATCACAAGTTAGAAGTGTTTTTATCCTCTTTAGCGGGTTATCTGTTCTGCCGATTTCAAATACAAATACAAATGCTAGGATCTTGGTTCACAACCACGCTCCACCGTATGTAGTTTACCCCTCCAAGTCTCGGGGTTCGGTTGCCGGTCCTCTCGCACACCGCAAATGAACAATACAACTCACACGAATCACAGAATGCGCATTCTACCTAGGAGCTCACGGCACTCTATAACCCTCGCTAACATTTTTAATTTAAATCGACGGTAATTTTGTACACCACTTTCTCCAATCTTCTTCCTCCTTGGCTTTATTTTTGACTGAGTCACAAATCTCTCCCTTGTCAGACATTGCTGATCTTCAGTTCCCTAATTGCTTCCTCCATTCTGCTTTTCTTCTTATAGCTGGTATCTGCGTTTCTTCTGGATTTTGTAACTCGGTTTCTCCAATCTCTAATTTCAGCTTATATGGCTGAAACTTCGGTTTTCTTCTTTCAATCAATTTTTTTCTGCTCACCGCTCCCCGGGCAGCAGTGATCCTTCTATTTTTTTGATATTCTATCTTCCAACATTGACCCTAATATCGAAATCACCATTGTTGGAGGTTTCAATGTCCACAGCAAGGACTAGTTGAAGCATTCCCCAGACACTTCGTTGATGGAACGCGAAGNAACTGGTTCACCTTCCCACACGCGTCCCTGATCGTATCGGTGGTCGCGCCCATACCCTTGACCTCATTCTTACATCCATTCCTTCTTGTTCCCCCGACATCACTTCCCTTTTCCCACTAGGCTCATCGGACCGTTGCCTCATTTCCTTTCTCATTCCATTTCCATTCTCATTCTCACCCCATTGCACCACCTAACTCCAGACGCACCTTTTGGCGTTATGATTCAGCCAACTGGGGCGGTTTTCGTGACTTTCTGGCTTGTTATCCCTGGAAGGATTGTTGTCTCAAGTCTAATGTTTTCACTTCTGTTTCCAACTTCACAGAAATTGTTTTTTAAGGCATACATGTTTATATTCCACACTTTTCCAAACCCGGAAAACCACGATTTCCTGAGTGATTTAATCATGCTTTCAACCGTACTGTACGTTTTAAAAACTCAGTATTCCGTCGTTGGCGCCATTTACCCAATCTAGCATCCCGCAACCGCTTCGTGCAAGCCAGAAACAAATGCTCGGTCACTAATCAGAGAGCTGAAGAACGATTCGTTTATCACAACGCTGCGCGCTTGGCTTCTTCCGCCACCGGTAACCGAACATTCAGGTCCCTCGCTAAATCGGTTTCACATAATTTCTGCCCTTCCAACTTTCCTCCCATTTTTTGTTCCTCTGGTACTCTTGTTTGTGATTCCCACGAAAAAGCAGAGATCTTCGCTTCCCGGTTTGCCTCCAACTCCACCTCATCTGCCAACCCTACTGTTCAACTCTCCCACACATTCAACCATTCCTTTCTACCTATCATAACAACCAAGATGGCCCGCCAAACCTTTCTTGGTTTGGATGTTTGTAAACCACCCGAACCGGACGATTTTCCACCTAGCGTCCTGAAACTGTGCCCCGGAGTTGGCCCTTGTTCTACGCCGCCTTTTCTGTTCTTCACTCGATCTTAAGTCCATAGAAAAATGCCATTTTTCCTATCCCAAAGCGCGGTGACCTTTCTGACCCCAACAACTATCGTCCCATCACCCATGTCTGTAATTTCGAAAGTGTGCGACCAGCTCCGTGGTATTCTCAGACGCGAAGGTTTGTTGGATGACCGCCAATATTGATTTCTCCCCGGTTGATTTTCAGGTGATCTACTGGCGCACATATCGTATTCCTGGT